AGGAGACTGAGGGTGACTTGAACTTTTAGCTCAATGGTCGAGAGTGCCGTGTTGACTGCCCAGTAGATGAGCAATTGTGAGATGAACCGGTTGCATTTGACCACCAATTTCCCATTGTAGCAAAGCAGGAGAAGGAGTTTTAGTGTCTCCTTGTCTAGAAGGGATGTGGGTGAGGACATTACCGGCGATGAGGGGGATGGAGGACTGCCCGCAGGTGAAGATGGCTGTTGTGACTATCTGCCAGGCAAACTTCGACTGGAGTGAGTGTGTAAGCGGCCTCACAGCAGCAACGGTGGTGGAGGCAACAGAGGAAGTCTGGTGGCGGGGTAACGTATGACAGGGACTGGAGTCGAAGAGGGAACTGCTGATGATGAGCTGGCCCAAGAATGTGACGGAGTGCTGTGGGGCTCGGCCTTGGGGGATCTTTTTAACCACAACCCCAAGGAGGGCTGGAGGATCGCTTGAGGGGTCGCTATAGGCTGTGCAACTGCCTCAACTCTTCGAGGGAGATCGGGATCTCCTTGCGCTTGACCTGTACTGGCGACAGGTTGGGGAATGCAGGTGTCTGGAGAGGCGGGTCAGGACGGAACAGGGGTGACATGCCAAGAGGCCAATCAAGACACGTGTGTGGATTTTTGTCCAAGAGGATGTTGGATCCTTTGGATGGGTACAAAGCGTCCATCTTCAACAGTAATGGAGTGTGGGGTACGGTTGGGACACGGCTGTTTGTCACAGTTGAAGAAGAGGGAGCCTGGTTTGTCTAGGTGTGCGACATCGACGTGATCTTCTACGTCGAATGCGTGCTCGAGTCCTGCACAGTAAAAGACTTCTTTAGCCACGATGGATGGGGGGAGGAAAGGGAGGTGTGCATATTATGAAAGGCCATTGTAAACTAGCTTATACCTACGGTGCCCGAGATGACACTAAGGTTCGCAGTTCACGTGGGGCCCAGTGCTGCTTTTGGCTAGTATGCAGCAGGAACCTAAGCCACGCGTCCGTGAGGACAAGTACCGCCCACTGAAGTGCAGGTACTGAAGAGTTTGTCCCCTAAGCGGTGGCAATGTATAGTACGCTATCTACGTATCGTATGATATAGTAAGGGTGCACACCACCCAACCTGTGGGAAGTGAATGTGAGAGTGGGAGTTCCAAGGAACACTGGCAGCTGTGAGAGTTTTGACCTAATGTCACAACTTGAGGTCAAGCGACAGGGGAAAACCTTAGAAAGCTGGGGGTGTTCGACTGATTCTCACCAAAGCGATGGTGAGCAATGCTCAAACCTAAGGCTAGGGACAAGATAATATATTAGTGAGTGAAGAAAGGATACAAGGGAGGGCTTACTGACCTAGGGACAAGAGGTCGAAACTGAGGTCCCTAGGGCAGCAGAGGCCGGCTTATATACAGGGGAAGTTTAGGGGAGGCTGTGCGCAGCTGGTCCATGTGCAGCATGCTGACGCGGGCCCTGGGGGCCGGTGAGTCAGAGAGGCTATGTCAGCGGAGCCCGAGCTGTGCCGCACACTGCCACCTTATCTAATCTAATTTTACAGTAGATAAGGACTTGTCCATTTGAGCGTATAGTACAGAGGTCGCAGGTTCGAGCCCGTGAAAAGGAAAAAATTAAAAAATGGCTAGATGCCGTACCAACTCATAACACTGTGAAGGCTGGGCGTATCAAGCCCTTCTACATTCCCACTGCAGACATGCTTGCAGACTGTCTCACCAAGCCATTGCCTGCACCCAAGGTTGCATTCTGTTGCACTGGGATGGGTATTGAGGTGTCCTAGTCTCCCTGTGGGACTTGGCAGATCAGGGGGGGTATGTCACAATGTGCTCTGCCACAGTCCCCTGGTCGGCCTAGGACGATCCCCTGGTGGTGGGAGCCACAACATTATGTGGTCACATGGTTGTATCAATTGCGGAGCAATCGGACTGGAGCAGAGCTCCGGCCACACTTCTTTTGTTCCATTGTTCCTGTGGCCAAGTGGCCCTTGTTCTCCTTTTGAACTCTATTGTTCTTTCTTCTATTGTTCTGCCATGGGAATACATTCCCCTGCTCATGTATATAAAGAGCTTCGTAGTGACCCTTTAATCTATACTTCTGTGACCCACTTCGACTTCAGCCCCACTTGTGGCATTCAGTCCTTCAGTGCTAGTCCTGTGCAACTGCTCCCTGTGTTGCCTATTGAAAGACAGGGGAAACACAAACCAGGGTGCTGGGGGTGTTCGACTGGGTCTTACCAAAGTGATGATGGGCAGTGCTCAAACCTAAAGCTAGAGACTTTAGGAGCTAAACCGAATTCTGTAAGTCTGTATTACTCAATCGTGGTGGTACAACGACTACTGTACCTAAACCGAATCCCGTAAGTCTGTATTACTATGGCAGATCAGTTAAGGTACAGGATGGAGGGGAAAATGAACATACCTCAGTCACAGTGGTACAATGACTGAGGAGAGAAGGGGGAGCGGGAGAGCAAACTATATGTAGGCATAGGGTGTATTATGTGTGAATAGACAGGGAAGAAGGTAATGTATGGATTGGCAAATGAGGTGCGAGATACGACCGAGGACGTCAGACGTCCCAATCATCAATGTCAGAATCCAACACTCCTCCTTGACGAGAAGATCAGGGAGGATGAGAAGGTATCCGAAACAAAAAGACCAAAAACAAATTGAGCTCAGGTATCTGAAACCAATGACCGTGAAGGAGATGTGTATCCAAAACAAAGACCATGAAAGAAAAGGGAAAAATAAACTCCTCCTTGACCTAGGAATGCTCCTCCATGCAGGGAAACACCCGCAAGCCCATGAGGTCCCGGAATTTAAGGAATGCTTTACGTTCAAGAGGCTTGGTAAAGGCGTCGGCAAGATTAGCATGAGACAGAACATAGGGAATGGACAGTTGCTTGGACTCAATGTATTTGCGGATGAGGTGATAGCGCACGTCGACGTGCTTGACCTTGGAGTGGAAAGTCAGATCGTGAGAGAGACAAATGCCGCCAGTGTTATTGCTGCACAGAGGGGTGCCGTCAGGAAGAGCGATATCAAGATGATGGAAGAGAGCGCATAGCCAGATAGCCTCTTTGGCCACCTCAGATGCAGCGACGTATTCGGCCTCAACTGTTGAGGACGCCACGGTTGCCTGTTTGCAAGTGGACCAAGTGATAAGGCCAGAGCCAAGTGTGAAGCAGTACCCAGAAATTGAGCGCCGAGTGTCAGGGCAAGAGGTATAGCTAGCGTCGGTATAACTGGTGAGGGAGTGCACGGTGGGACTGCCAAGAACAAGACGCAGATCACGTGAGCCCTTGAGGTAATGCACAACACGCTTCATGGCATTCCAGTGGGCTTTGCCAAAAAATCGAGGAATTGACTCAGTTGCTGAACAGCGAGAGCAATGTCAGGGTGTGTACCAATAGTGAGGTATATAAGGCAACCAACAAGTGTGTGGTAGGGCAGGTGGGATACAGAGTCACAAGTGATGGCAGTAGAAGGTGAATGATCACAGCAAGAGAGAATAACACCCTTCTCCATGGGAGTGGAGACTGGCAGAGTGTCCTGCAGACAGAATTGCGCAACAACCTTGTCGATTAGAGCAGTTTGGGAGAGTGCAATTGTGCAAGAGGCACGAGTGCATTCAATAGCGATACTGACGCAGAAGGTTGCTTCACCCAGGTCAGTAATTTGCCATTTAGCGCAGAGTTCACGTTTGAAGCGAGCAATAGCAGCAGGGGCACTTCCGGTGAGCAGAAAATCGTCGACATGCACGCAGGTGATGATGGTACCCTCATCAGTGCGACGAAAGTATATGCAGTACTCACAGGGGATGCATGTGAAACCGAGAGAGATCATGTAGGCATCCATTGTCTTGTTCCAAACGCGGCCACCCTGTTGCATGCCATAGAGCCCTTTATGAAGTTCCCAGACCCAGTCAAATTTGCCAGGTTCCTCAAAACCAGGAGGTTGTTCCATATAACAGACTTCGTCGTCGGGCAGAGAGCCATAGAGGAAAGCAGTCTTTACATCGATTTGATGGACTTCCCAATCACGAGCAGCAGCGAGATGTAAGAGGGCGCGGAAGGATTCCATGCAGACAGTGGGAGAGGAAGTGTGATTGTAATCCTGGCCATAGATAGCAGCAAAGCCTAGACAGACCCAGCGTGCCTTGAAATGGATGGGAACATTGTCTTTGTCATACTTGAGACGGAAAACTGGCTTCCCTTTCATGATGCGACGGCCGGCAGGAACAGAAAAGCGAGGGATGAGCCTGTAAACACCAAGATCACAAATAGAGTCAAACTCATCAAGGAGGGCCTGTCACCATTGAGGGGCATGAGGAGATGCCATAGCATCGGCAAGCGTTGCAGGGTCGCCAGGGTATTCAACGTCAACATCCGGTGAGGTAGGAGTGGTGGAGAGCACGTCAAGGAGAGTAGCCCAAGCAGCAGAGTCAGAAGGGAGGGACTCAGACGGAGTGGGAGACACAGGTGGAGACAGACTTGGAGAGCCGAGCTCCTCAGAAGCAGAGACCAGTTCCTCAGGGATAACAGGGAGGCCAGCACGACGCGCAGCGTGAGCGGCCTGGATGTGGGTGCCGCTAGCGGCAGAGTTGGTGACAGCACGAGAAAGAGCGGAGACGTGAGGCAGGTCAGAGGCAGCAGCGAGACGTGTAGAAGGGAGAGAAACACAAGAGGAATGACGCAGTTCAGGAGAGGGTACCGGAGAAGGAGGCAAGACGGGTAAGGGTGGATCAGCCAGAGAAGGAGGCAAGATGGGTAAGGGTGGATCAGCAGGTGGGGACAGTTCCGGAGTCGGAGCTGCAACTGGCACCGCAGCCACGTGGGGAGTATCCTCAAACGACTCGATGAAAGAGACATGAAAGGATTCGATAACCTTACCTGTAGCGTGATGATAACATCGATAGGACTTGGACGTCTGACTGTAACCGATGAGAATGCACTCAAGGAAGCGCTCATAGATCTTAGGGTTGTGGCGGTTTTGAATGAGCACGAAAGCGTGGCACCCAATCTCACACAAGTGTGAAAGATCAGGGCGGCAACCAGTCCATAGCGCGACAGGGGTGACTCCAGGAGAGAGAAAGAAAGATGTGGTACGCAAAGTGAGGTAGTTGGCCATGAGTAAGAACTCATCCCAGCGAGCGGAAGGGAGGTCACAGCCAATACACATGGCTTGAGCGCGATTCATGAGAGTACGATAAAGGTGTTCAACACATCCATTCTGAGCAGAGGTGTAAGGGGACGTGCGGCGCAGAGCAATACCCTTGCTGCCAAGAAATGAGGTAAACTTGTTAGAAAGGAGTTTGCCGTTGTCTATCTGTACTGCATCGAGGGAGCCGCCAGTCTCATTCTCACGAGCAAGAGCCCATACACGAAACTGTGCGAGTGTGGCAGATTTGAATGGCAGCGGGATGGACCAAAAATAGGACGAAAAATTGTCGATTATGTGAAGCACATACAAATTTCCGGACGCCGAGCGTACATCGGCAGGACCCATCAAGTCTGCGTAAACCAGTTCCAACTGCCTAGTTGCCCGAGCCCCCCTCCGCACTTAAGGAATGGGTGAACGAGTCTGCTTGCTGCTGTCGTGACTTGAGGTCGAGCGACAGGGGAAAACTTGAGCTGGGGGCGTTCGACTGGTTCTTACCGAAGCGATGGTGAGCAACGCTCAAACCTAAGGCTAGGGACAAGTAATATATTAGTTAGTTAAGTAAGGAAGGAAATACAAGTGAGGGCTTACTGACCTAGGGACAAGAGGTCGAAACTGAGGTCCCTAGGGCAGCAGAGGCCGGCTTATATACATGGGGAGATAAGGGCAGGCTGTGCGCGTTGGTCCGTGCGCAGCTGGTCCGTGCGCAGCATGCTGACGCGGCCCCGGGGGCCGGTGAGTCAGAGCAGCTGTGTCAGCGGAGCCCGAGCTGTGCCGTGCACTGCCGCCCCATCTAATCTAATCGTACAGTAGATAGTGACGCGTCCATATCAGGCAAGTAGTACAGAGGTCGCGGGTTCGAGCCCGCGAAAAGGACAAAATTAAAAAACGGCTAGACGCCGTGCCAACTCGTGACATTACCCCCCCTCAACGGCGCATGACCTCATGCGAGGCGCCCTTGCCCATCTCCCACCCGGAGCGGCATCGTGCTTCAGTCAGCGGCGAAGGCATTGGCTGAAAGTTGAGACCACCAAAAGTAGCAGCGTTGAGGCGGCGAGGGGCGTTTGGGTTCTTCCGGTGGAAGTCGGCTATGAGGGCCGGCGCATTGGCAACATTGCGCGCTGGTTCCCATGACGTATGCGAGTCGTCATAACCCTTCCACTTGACGAGGTACTGCAGTTGACGCCGGAAGATCCGCGAATCTTTGATCCGCTCAACCTCGTACTCCTCGTCGCCCTCAACCTCGATCGCAGGCAGCTCCTCCGGCTCTCGACCCGGGATATCGCTATGTGTATACTTGCTAAGCAAGGAGACATGGAACACCGGGTGCACTGGCACCGACTTCGGCAGGACTAATTCATAATCCAAGTCTCCGAGCTTTCGCCGCACGGCATATGGTCCAAGGCGCTTGGGACTGAGCTTCTTGCTCGGCTGTTTCAGCTTAAGGTTCCGAGCGTCAAGCCAGACCTTGTCCCCCGGCGCAAAGACCGGTGCCTCCTGCACGTGCTTGTCGTAGTATACTTTCATATGCTCGGCTGACAGCTCGAGCGCAGAGCGCGTATCGTCGCGAATCTCCTTCAGGATCTTGAGCCGATCAGCGGCCGCAGGCATCGCAGACATCGGATTGATCCGCACTTGGATCTCAGGATGGTACCCCTGATGCAGGTAGAAAGGGGAGTGCCCAGTCGCGGAGTGAACTCGGTTGTTCAGTGCGAATTCCGCGAGCGGCAACTGCTTCGCCCAATCATCCTGCCTGTGGCTTGTGAAAGCACGCAGGTACTGCTCGATTTCCTGATTCCAGCGCTCAGTCTGGCCGTCTGTCTGAGGGTGGAACGCTGTGGACAGCGCCGGCTCGATCCCGAGTCCCTTGTACACCGCATGGAGATACTTCAAAGCAAACTGGGGACCTCGGTCTGATATGACCTTGGCCGGGGCCCCATGATGCTTGAACACATCGCGGATGTACAGGTCTGCCGCACCTTCTGCCGTCAGGGTCTCATGACAGGCGGAGAAGTGGACCTGCTTGGTAAAGCGGTCGGGCGGTAACCAGGATTGAGTCGAATCCATCAGACTTTGGCAAGCCGACGATCATATCGGTCGTGATGATCTGCCACGGGCGCTCGGGGATCTCATTCGGCTTCAGCGGACCCTGGGGCTTGGCTGGGAATGTCTTGGTACGGTTGCACACATCACAGGTGCTTACGTACTCATTGACGAATTTGGACATCCCAGGCCACCAGTAGTTCCGCGACACGAGCTCGAGGGTTTTGGCACGACCGCCATGGCCGGCGATCGGCGAGTCGTGGTGGATCTTGACTATATCTCGCCGGAGCTCCGCATTCTTTGGGACGTACACGCACCCGCGGAACAGCAAGAGCCCTTGTTCGGCATTCCACTCCTCAAAACCCCTTTGCAGCCGGGGCGGCCCGAGGTCCTGCACCTTTTCAAGGGCCTCGGCCACCTCCCGATCTTTCTCCGAACATTCCCTGATGCGCTTCAGAATCGACTGATCGGCCGTCACCGAGGCGTGACCGCGCCTAGCGGAGGCGATGCGGAAGCGCTCTGGCTTGAGAACCACCTGATCGGTGTTATCGTCCTCGTCGCCGATCTGATGGTCTGATCGACGCAACAGGGCATCAGCCTTTCCATTGGACGTCCCGGCCTTATGCGTGATGCGGAAGTCGAAGCGAGCTAGGAACAACGACCACCTCGCTTGACGACGCGTGAGATGCTGAGACGTGCGCCATTACTCGAGGTTCTTATGATCGGTTACAATCTCGAACTGATTGGGCAACCCCTCGAGATAGTGGCGCCGATCGTCTAGCGCCTCGATGATCGCGAGCATCTCTTTATCGTAGATCTCGTAGTTCCGCTGTGCCGGATCCATCGCATGGGATCGGAAGGCAATAGGGTGCCATTTGCCATCATCCTGCTTCTGCATCAACACGCCACTGGTGGCATACCCTGACGCATCGACTTCAATGCGCATTTCCTGATTAGGGTCGTACAGCGCCAAGACTGGAGTCGTTGCGAAGAGCCGCTTGAGCTCATCGAAGGCATGTTGCTCCTCTTCGCCCCAACGCCATGGGTCATTCCCTGTGAGCCGGTCGAGTGGTCGCGAGATCTTGGCGAAGTCCTTAATGAAGCGGCGGTAGAAGTTGGAGAACCCCCGGAACTTCTGAACATCCTTTTTGTTCCGGGGTACCGGCCACTCATTGATTCCTTTCAGCTTCGCGGGATCCATCGCCACCTCATCGCCACCGAACACATAGCCGACGTAGTCGACTTTGGGAACGTCCCACTCGCACTTCTCAGGCTTCAGGAACAGATCGTTGTCCTGAAGGCGGCGCAGAACCTTGCGTGTGACCTTCTCATGCTCCTCTTTGTTGGTAGAGAAGACGAGTATGTCGTCCAGGTACACGAGGATCTTCCCGCCGACGATGAGATCATGGAAGATCTCGTTCATCATGGCCTGGAAAGTTGCGGGAGAATTAGTGAGGCCGAAGAACATCACCAGGGGTTCGTACAGCCCCCGGTTAGTTACAAAAGCCGCCTTCCATTCATCGCCGGCTTTGATCCGGACATTGTTGTATCCCCATCGGACGTCGAACTTCGTGAAGAGCGTGGCACCGCGGAGCTTGTCCACCATTTCGGCGATCAGCGGCAAGGGGTAGCGATTCTTGACGGTGATCGCATTCAGCCGGCGGTAGTCCTGCACGGGTCGAAGTGTCCCTTCCTTCTTTTTGATGAAGAAGAAGGGAGATGAGATAGGCGACTTCGATTCTCGTATGTAGCCCTTCGCCAGCTGCTCCTTCAAGAACTTATCGAGCTCCTCCTGCTCGTTGTTCGATAATGGGTACACCTTCGAATGGAATGTTGAGTAGCCGGGCACGAGTTCGATCGCGTGGTCGTACGGCTTCCTTTCGGGTAACCGCTCTGATGCTTCTTTTGAGAAGACCTTCAGAAACTCGTGGTACTGTTTGGGTACCAACTCCTCGGCGGTTTTGACGACCTTCTTCTTGATCTCTTCCTCAGCGAACAGCTGGGAATACGTGTGCCCTGCTGCGACAAACAATTGAGGGGCGCCGGGAAGTGTGACACCCTGCTCCCAGGCTTCGATCAAGTCAGCCTCATTCCATTCTATTTCCGCCGAATCTTCTTCGTGTTCGAAGTCCGGGAGCACCTTGCTCCGGCAGGCACCTATGACCGACCGTCTGGACTTCAGCGAACGCCTGCGCGCCGTGGGCCTGACCCCCGTATCACGCGCAGTCGCTGCTTGCTCCATTCGGCCAGTCCTCCTGGTGCTACATGTTTCAGGGCATCGCAACAATTTGAGGGAGCCCTTCTCCCAATCGATCTCAGGGTTGTGCTCACGTAGCCAATCCAACCCAACGATCACATCTTCTGGACCGATGTCCGTGACCGTGAACACCGTCTTCTCGACGTGCTCTCCTATATGCATCTGTAGCACTGCTACCTCCGAGATGCTTCCGTCTTTGTTGAGGGTGCCGTCAATATTGTATAGCGGAATCGGCTCTTTTAGCTTCCGCGTCTGCACCTTATTCTCCACAATGAATCGCTTGTTGATAAACTTCGTGGTGGCTCCACTGTCCACCATCGCGATCACATCTTTGTGCCGTCTTTTCCCTTGAAGTCTTACTGGAATGTGAAAGTGCTGGGACCCCTGGTCCAACTCGTACACCATTGCAGAAGACAATACATCGTACTTGTTACATGATACTCGCGGCCCGACGCGTGCGGCACGAAGCGCGGACCGGATCAAAAACCCTCCTCCTTCATCGTCCGATAGTGCTCGAGCTCCTCGCGCATCGACTTCATCTGTGCTATTAAGTCCGCCAGCTCGGAACTTTCCGATTTCGCTGAAGCGGCGCTTATACTCGCCGAGGATGAAGCGACGGGGGCGCTTGTTGCCGCCTGGGTGGAACCCGAGGCAACCGTAGCCCGCGCATCGGCGCGTTTTGTGTAAGGTTTATCCTTACAGTTAGGGCACTCGAAACAACGGTACCCTTGCTTCCCACAGCCGAAGCATGTGCCGGGGAAGTTGCCTTTTCCGACGGCCGCATTGATGCTGGCCGAAGCTGCGTGCGTCGAGGGTGCACCACCACGTGCCCCACCGCGTCCTCGACCTCGGGCCGAGAAGAAGTTATTTAGCTCGGGCCGACGGGCCCGGCTGATGTCGAGGATCTGTTCGACCTCAGTGGCGCGCTTGTCAGCGTCTTGCCACGTGGTGAAAGTCTCGAGCTCGATCTTGCGATATACGCGGGAGGGGATGCCGCTCAGGTACTTGTCGCGTAGCTCCAGGTCCCCGTACCCAGAGCGGTCCGCCGGACCCTTGAACAGCGCGGAGAATTCCGCAGCAGTGCATTTTTCACGGACCGACTTGTCCGCGCAGAGCTTCGCCAGCTCTACTTGTGCTGCCGCCTCGTCGTCGAGATTTCCGAAGCGGGCCCTGAAGGCGGCGGCAAAGGCTGCTTCGTTTGCGAATGGGGTTGTGACCCCTTGCGCTCCTATCTGCACTGATACGAGCTGGGCGAAGTAGGGAGTGGCCCAAGCGCGGGCGTCTCCATCGAGCAGGCTAAGTGCAACCTGTACCTTGAGTTCGATGGTGGTCAACAACGTGTTGATCAACCAGTAGATGCGCAGCTGCGACAGGAACCGGTTGCACTCGATGACGGTCTTGCCATCGTAGCGGAGCGGGAGGAGGAGCTTCAACGTCTCCTTATCGAGAACGGCCGCGGGAGAGGACATTATCGGCGGCGAGGGGGACGAAGGACTGCCCGCGGACGAAGGTGACTGTTGTGACTGTCCGCCGGGCGAACTTCGCGAGGAACGAGTGCTCGGGCGGCCTCGCGGCGGCGACGGCGGTGAAGCCGGTTGAGGAAGCCCGGAGGCGGGGTGACGTAGGACAGGGACTGGAGTCGAGGTGGTGACCGCTGACGACGAGCTGGCCCAAGAATGCGGCGGAGTGTCGCGGGGCTCGGTCTTGGGAGGCCTTTCCAGCCGCAGCCCCAGGGAGGGCTGGGGGATCGCTTGAGGGGTCGCTGAAGGCTGTGCGACTGCCTCAGTTCCTCGAGGGAGATAGGGATCTCCTCGCGCTTGACCTGTACTGGCGACAGGTTGGGGGATGCGGGTGCCTGGCGAGGCAGGTCGGGATGGGACGGGAGTGACGTGGCGAGATGTAGATCTCGAGGTGCCAGTGTAACGGAGTGAAGGGCCGCTGGGGTGTTGAATTCGTCGGATTGGCACGAAGTGTCCTTCGTCAACAGTGATGGACCGTGGGGTGCGATTAGGGCACGGTTGCCGATCACAGATGAAGAAGGGAGCTCTGTCTCCGTTGCTTTCTGGGTCGTCGCGAGAGACGTCGACCTGCTCCTGGGTGTCGAAGGCGTGCTCAAGTCGAGAGCAGTCGAAGAATTCGTCAGCCACGTTGATGGGGGGAGGAAGGGGAGGTGCGCGTGCTACGAAAGGCCGTGCTAGCTAGCTTACACCTACGGCGCCCAAGGTAACGCTAGGGTTCGCAGTTCACGTGGGGCCCAGTGCTGCTTTTGGCTAGTATGCAGCAGGAACCTAAGCCACGCGTCCGTGAGGACAAGTACCGCCCACTGAAGTGCAGGTACTGAAGAGTTCGTCCCCTAAGCGGTGGCAATGTATAGTACGCTATCTAGGTATCGTAGGGTACAGTAGGGGTGCGCACCACCCAACCTATAGGAAGTGAATGTGAGTGTGTGGGTCCCGATGGAACGCCGGCAGCTGTGGGGAGTTTCGACCTAATGTCGCGACTTGAGGTCGAGCGACAGGGGAAAACTTGAGCTGGGGGCGTTCGACTGGTTCTTACCGAAGCGATGGTGAGCAACGCTCAAACCTAAGGCTAGGGACAAGTAATATATTAGTTAGTTAAGTAAGGAAGGAAATACAAGTGAGGGCTTACTGACCTAGGGACAAGAGGTCGAAACTGAGGTCCCTAGGGCAGCAGAGGCCGGCTTATATACATGGGGAGATTAGGGCAGGCTGTGCGCGTTGGTCCGTGCGCAGCTGGTCCGTGCGCAGCATGCTGACGCGGCCCCGGGGGCCGGTGAGTCAGAGCGGCTGTGTCAGCGGAGCCCGAGCTGTGCCGTGCACTGCCGCCCCATCTAATCTAATCGTACAGTAGATAGTGACGCGTCCATATCAGGTAGGTAGTACAGAGGTCGCGGGTTCGAGCCCGCGAAAAGGAAAAATTAAAAAACGGCTAGATGCCGTGCCAACTCGTGACAGCTGCGCATGCACAAGTCACATTTCGGCGGCGCGACAGATAGTTCGGCAGGCTTACTGGAGAGGAGATCAGCCTGGGCCATGTCATAGATGGTGCAGTAGTTGGTGTGCCCGAGACAGCAGTGCCAGGCAACGAGGGTAGAAACATGAGTGGCAAGGAAAGCGTGATCAACTGCAGGGGGAGAGCCAGCAAGAGTATACAACCGGCGTGACAAGAGAGTACCGGAAGCAAGCAGCACACCAGAGTTTAGGAACCTGAACCGAATACACGTAAGTCTAAGACTCAGCCGTGGTGGTAGAACGACTGTTTATACCTGAACCGAATACACGTAAGTCTAAGACTACATATTGAATCAGTACAGGTACGGGAGAATGGGATGGAGTGAACATACCTCAGCCGTGGTGGTAGAACGACTGAGGAAAGAAGTGGGGGAGCGGGGGGAGCGAGGTATAAGTAGGAAGGGTAGGTATCACGTGTATGTAGACAGACAACGAGCTAAGGTATCGGATGGACGTAGGGAGCGTGGATCGCGACCGCGGACGTCAAACGTCCCAATCTGGGAAGTCAGAATCCGACACTCCTCCTTGACGAGAAGAGCGGGAAAAACAACAAACGAGAAAATGACCGTATGAGGAACAGAGACTGTGAGGGAAAAAACATACACAGAGACACTCCTCCTCGACCTATGAAGACTCCTCCTCGCAGGGAAACATCCGCAAGCCCATGATATCATGGAACTTTAGGAAGGCCTTGCGCTCAAGGGGCTTCGTAAAGGCGTCAGCGAGGTTGGCGTGAGATGGAACGTAGGGAATAGTGAGCTGATTACTTTCGACATATTCACGGATGAGGTGGTAGCGCACATCGACATGTTTGACTTTAGAGTGGAAGGTGGGGTCGTGAGACAGCCGAATCCCACCAGTGTTATCGCTGTAGAGAGGGGTGCCGTCAGGTAAGGTGATGTCGAGATAATGCAGCAGAGCGCGCAGCCATATGGCCTCTTTGGCAGCTTCGGAAGCAGCGACGTATTCGGCTTCAACGGTGGAGGACGCAACAGTCGCTTGTTTGCGAGCAGACCAGGTGATGAGTCCAGATCCAAGAGTAAAGCAGTACCCAGAGATGGAACGACGTGTGTCGGGGCAGGAGGCATAGCTGGCGTCAGTGTATCTGGTGAGCGCATGCGCAGAGGAGCTGCCGAGGACGAGGCGCAAGTCGCGAGTGCCTTTGAGGTACCGGACGACGCGCTTAGCAGCATTCCAGTGAGCCTCGCCGAAGGAGTCGAGGAACTGGCTAAGTTGCTGAACGGCGAGCGCAATGTCAGGCTGGGTGCCAATGGCGAGGTACATGAGACAGCCGATGAGCGTGCGGTAGGGCAGATGAGCGACGGCATCCCGGGCGGCGTCCGTAGACGGGGAGTGATCTCGACGAGAGAGGGTGACACCTTTGTCCATGGGAGTAGAGACAGCTGGCGCGTCCTGGAGACGAAATTGAGCGACGACCTTATCGATGAGGGCAGTTTGCGAAAGAGCGAGGTGGCGACGAAGGCGATCACGCTCGATGGCAATACCGACGCAGAAGGAAGCCTCCCCGAGATCAGAGATGAGCCATTTTGTGCGCAGTTCGTCTTTGAACCGAGAGACAGCGGTAGAAGAGCTCCCGGTAAGCAAGAAGTCGTCGACATGTACACAAGTGATGACAATGCCGTCGTCAGATGTCGCGACTTGAGGTCAAGCGACAGGGGAATACCTGAAAGCGGGGGGCGTTCGACTAGATCTCACCGAAGCGATGGTGAGCTAAGCTCAAACCTAAGGCTAGGGACAAGAAAGTATATTAGTTAGTAGGGTAAGAAAGAATACAAATGAGGGCTTACTGACCTAGGGACAAGAGGTCGAAAC